CCCGGCACTCACCCCCTGCCACTCCTACACACCCAGCCCTGCCTCCTCAGCCAGCTCCCTCCATGGCCTAGCTCCTCCAAGTGCACCCTGTACTTTGGTTAATATCGACACTTGTCCTTCCCTAAGTAATACAGCAGGTGGACGAAGACCAAAAACTTGAGTCTGTTCCTCCCGTCATTCTCTCCACAAACCCTGCACATTCAGGTCATTCCCATGTCTCCACATCCAGGCTACAGATGCCAAATGGCCCACAGGACAACAGCAAGAGACTCAGGAGGCAGCAGCCCTGAGTGTCCACACATGAGACACAGCTCCTGATCCGCTGGGGGCTTGCTCTCTACAGGAACTGAGCCTAGTGACCCAGGGCCCACAAGTTATTCGGTGGTGACCCCCAAATCTCCTGCCGTGGGCTGCAGACACAGACCGCAGTGGAGACTGGGGAGTGACTGTCCTGGTGAGACTGGAAAGAGTCTGAGGTCTGAAGGAGGAAGATTCTGAGCCAAGGTTCCCAAGTGAAGCCCTGCTCCCCACTCACACACACCTGACCAGTGTCCTATTGCACTCAATGCCAGCTGACCCCTGCTCAGACTCCCAGCATGCTGGGTGGACTCCCTTCAGCCCAGCGCCCAAGACCACCACTCTCTGGCCCAGTGTTCCTACCCAGCCTGACTGCTTCCTCCATAAGTGCTCCCACCCTTCAGCAGAGATCCCTCCTCTTCCTCTCCCCAACACCGGGCTTGCTGTCCCCAGAGGCCCTGCCACCTCCTCTGCCTCACTCGGGCAAAACACCCACAGCAAACACCAGCACAGCCCTTAGCACGGCCTGGCCCTGAGGTAAGCACTCACCCAGAAATGCAACAGACTCTAATGAAGTGCTATGGACTCCCACTGAGGAGAATCCCACAGGACTCCCAAAAATGGGTCACAGATAACTGCCCACCCAATGATTAAAAGGCTCTGGACTGTGGAGAAAGCCACTGGTAGCCCCAAAAAAGAGTTATAGCTCACTGCTGCCCACAAACAAGCAAAAATAGGAAATAAAAATGGAGTCACTTATGCTAAGCCAGAAGCTGATGACATCACTTATGTCAAGCTCAGCGCTTGCCACAAAGATGCTCCTCATCAGACTGAACAGACATCCCTGGGCAGTCTGATAACATGTATGCTACAGACGACAAACTCAAGTTACCTTCCTACTCGCACAGGGATTGGCTGCACCCCAGGAATACTGCAGATACACCCTGTCCTAAACAACAGATTGGTGGTACCCCGGGAAACTCCCAGAGGGAGCACAACTGATTGGTGACACCCTACCGCTCCTGGAGACTCTCCCTTCAAAATGACAAGGATAAAAGGATCATGGTCCCGGTGTCTGTGAACCTCTGGATCTTCACACATTCAGAGCTGAAGAGGCAGCCCGTTACACATGGATCTGTAATGGCACAAGATGACAACCGATCAAGGGCCCAGTACATGTGAACCTCTGGATCTCCTCGCACATGGAGCTTAAGAGCCAGCTCACTAGCCCCCTTGCTAAGCAACACACGGCGACTACAGGACCAAACACCAGTGGAGCCACCGCCTCGCCTGGACCCCTTATCAGCCTGCTGCCTGACCTGACCACACAGCTGGACCAGACCTCTCAGCAGGGGACCTCTCCAACTCCTTACCTTGTCATTCCCCTGGGAACTCCGGGCTTCTGCTCAGAGTGACAGCCATCCCACTACTTCATGCCTGTAAGTGACTGTTCTGAGATCCATTTCTCCGAGTGGTAATGAGACTCTGGACTCTGGACTTTGAACTTTCACTTCTTGGGAATGTGATAGGAACCTTAAGAACGCAGCATTTATAATGATATTAGCCATACGTAATAGGAAGGAATGTGCCTTGACCCTATGATTAAGAATGTCTTCTGCTTCGCTGTACTTACATTATTACAGTTGGACTGCCTTTGAGATTGCTTTGATGCCAGGTGTGTGTTATGATGTGTGGAGTAATGAACATAACTACAGAGATTGGTTTGCAGTGGGAAAGCCCTAGTGTGAATTGGAGTGAGCAATAAAAAGCCTTTCATTGGGAAGACAGTGTCGTCTCCGTGTGTTCCTTCTTCCCTATGCTCCGACAAGGCACCCTTGAGCCCTGTCGAAATGCGTGACAGCACTCACAACGTACCACCACCACTGCTAAACTCGGGAGACACCCACACTGTACATTCACTCCATTACAATTAGTAACACCTCTACAGCACACCCTACCCCACAGGTCCCACAACTCTCAGGTGGACGCGGCTCCCCCACTACTGCAAAAACCATCTCCACAAGCCACTGCCACTTTGACAGATTCCTCCAAGTAATTCTAAAAGTAAGGCAGTGCTATCCAACTCTGCCAGACCACTCTTCCAACTCCTGGACCCTCAGCTCCAGGGCAATCTCTAGGAATTCACTCTACTCAGATACCCTTTTTTATCCTCTGTTCACATCTCTCACTTTAAAGCACTGTACCGCGTTGCTATCTTTTGTTGTGATATTAGCCCTAGACTTTGTCAGAAACCAGCCAAACCGAATGGACCCATAGCAGAAGACTTCTCTCGGCACTCTCTTATCTCTTCTGGGTTGCATGCTTTACTACGGTCTGCTGCTTCTAACCTGCTGCCCTTTTTGTGGTCCCCAAATCTATATATCTCTCACATCTTCCCAAAGCCTCTACACAGCTCTCATCAATGCTTCCTCTCGTCTCTTCTCTGAACATAACCCCACTATCACTTCAAGGTGGATCTGTACACGCTTCTCCCACTTCCCAGCCAATCTGGACAAAGGCCACAGGACTGAAGGGATACCCTGTACTTTCCCCAAAACAGGAAGAATTCAACCGACCTTATATACCTATCAAAGGCATTTTCTCTGTGCTTCGCTGAGAGGTCAAGCCTTAAACGCATCCTACGTGTTCCCTTCCCTTTTCCCATGAAGCAGGATCACTGTCCCACAAACTCTACAACTGGACGATTACTCTCCCAGCCTCCCCTGTTTCCTCCATTTCCTTCCCCTACTCCCACAGGTTAGCGAAATTAGCTACAAAGGCAAATACTCCCACTCTAACTGAACCATCACTGTCAGGACCCAGCCCAAGGATGCATTGGTGAGCATGCGGGGGACCATACATAGAAGCGTTCTTGCTCTGTGGCATCCAGGTGTGCAAGTGTCTTCCCATGAACTGGACAGGCACGTGTCCGCTCACGTTCCTATTTCACCCTTTCTCCTATACTCTCAACCAGACTTGATGTCCCAGACCTCGAACACCCCATGTCAAGAGTGACTTGGACTTAGCAACCCTTCTTTCTCGTTGGGTGTTTTTTGCCAGGGATTGGGCCAGGAGCAGCCAGACTGGCAATTTCAGGAGACAAGACAAAGAAATACAAAGAATTATGTCTCACTCTCAAAGAAAACATAAATGACCCAGCACCACACCTGTCTCACTTCCAAGACCAGGTAGATTCTTGTCAGCAGTGGTCCTGCAAAATCACTGAGGATTTAGAGTCCTCACCTCCAAAAAAAGGAGGACTTTGCCTCTGGGTAAAGAGTGTGGCTTGTGGCGAGTGCCGCCATAGCTCAATAGGATAATCCTCCACCTGCGTCGCCCGCACACCAGGTTCTGGTCCTGGTCAGGGCGCCGGATTCTGTCCCGGTTGCTCCCCTTCATTCCAGCTCTCTGCTGTGGCCCAGAAGTGCAGTGGAGGATGGCTCAAGTGCTTTGGCCCTGCACCTGCATGGTAGACCAGGAGGAACCACCTGGCTCCCGTTTTCAGATCAGCGTGGTGTGCCAGCCACAGCGGCCATTGGGGGGTGAACCAATAGAAAAGGAAGACCTTTCTCTCTGTGTTTCTCTCTCTCTCACTGTCCACTCTGTCAAAAAAAAAAAAAAAAGAGTGTGGCTTGTACACCAGTCAGTCAGGTGCTGTGAGAGATGCTATTGAGCACATTGAAAAGCATGCTAATAAAATGTAAGAATGCATTACAATACCCTTGCCACATCTTAGCCATCTTTGCCACTCTGGGTAACTTTTCTACTACTTTCTTTTTTCCTCATAATCACGGTGCTTTATTCTTATGATATATAATTGCACATTTCAAAAGTGCTCACAGGAACCAGTGACTGCTAGATCCCAAGACATCCCGCAGGAACATCACAAGACTGCTCTTCTTCTCCAGTCACTCTGGACTACAGCCCTGCATCAGCAGCAAGTGGCCAATAGAACACCAGCACCCGTCTCTCTCTCTGTCCTGGGAGTAGGAATACAGGACCTTGAGCAACATCATGGGCAGAAGTGATGCCATCTTACAGCCACATCACTGCCTCAAGAATTCAACCATTAGCCACAGCCACATCACTGCCTCAAGAATTCAACCATTAGCCCCAGCCCTCCGGAAGGTTGCAAAAGCCAAGGCAAAACAGCTCAGCTCTGCCTAATCCCTGCCCAGCCTGATCCAAAAGTACTCAGGCTAGATAAGCCCCAGTCTCTATCAGAACTTGTCCTGACCCTCGCTAGTAGTGGGCCCTCAGGTCTGTCTCTGAATAAACAGGCTCTAGCTACTGAGTTCGTAGTTTGTAGTCTGTCTTCCCTGACTCCTGTGCATATTGTCTAAAACACCATCAGGGAAAGAGCAAACCAGACAACACCAGCATTCAGTCCTCGGTCAGTGGAAACCATTAGATGGATTCCCGGCAAAGGAACATTCCGTGTGTTTGAGTTCAGTTGCTTATTCATCCACTGAACCACTCCCCACACACATGCAATGGCACCAGGGGCGAGCCAAGAACCAGGAAGTCACCCCAGATCTCCCTGACAGGTGGCAGTAACCCAAGCATTTCAGCCTTAACCCCCGAGGATCTCTTTAGCAGGAAGGTGATACACATGAAACCCAGGCACTCTGATACTCTGATGTCCCAACCACAAAACACAATGCTCACACCCCACTTTTATTCCCAAATAAAACACCACTCACCTGGACGGATACTAAAATGTCCCGCCAACAACACCTCAGCCAGCACACGTCTGGGCCAAGACTTCAACTCAGATGAGACTGAAACCGCAAGTTGGAACCGGGAACCTATAGGAGGAAAACACCCTTGTGTTTGAACAGGCCTTGGAGAACCTAAGAACCAATTCACACCTACCAGATGACAAAGAGAAAGATGTCTGCTGCTAGCAACACAAACTTTGGGATTCTCTACTGAGTCCACCGTGACCTCAGCCATAAGACCAAAAGGGCCTCACTTAGAAATGAAAGCTTGAAAGGGCTGGGCCCTGTTGGCAACCAGTCCTCTGCCTGTCACGAGCTGTTCAACCACAGCCCTGACACAGACAATAAAGATGCTTCCTGCTCCCCCTCTTCCATGGCTTATAAAGGAAAGGGGACCCCTAAAGTGAAAGTAGGGCAATGCCAGGGCTGAGAAAAGATCAGCAAGGGGGCTCCAAAGTCAAGTCCACTTGCTGTGCTGTGGCACACTGTCCCCTAAACTGCTCCAGGCTACTTGGGAAAAAAAAAAAAAAGAGGGTTCCTTTTTGTATGTAGGATCCAAACTGAGAAGGCCCTCCCTTAGTACCATAACCGGGAGGTGGAGGGCTCAATCTAAGGCGCTGTGGAAGAGGTAGCTGTGATCCAGACACGCACCCTTGAGGGGCAGCCAGGGCCTCCACCAAGCCCACCATCAACACCATGACCTCCCCCGGGAGTCAGGAGCCACCAAGGGAATGAAATGGCCTGACCCCAGATCAGGGCAGTCAGCTCACCCTGTCAGTGCTCATCACCAACTTCATAGTGTCCCATGTCTACAGGGAAATACACTTCATTGTGTCTATTCATTCAAAACAGGCCCAGCACTCAATGTCAAGTCTACCATTGCTTTAAGAAAAACAAAGAGCCAACTGCAGTCCCCTCCCCTAGTCCCCACCCTCCCAGGGAGAAGCCCCAGAGCAGGTGGGACTCAGAGGCTCCAATTCAGCCCCTTCCCAAGAAGAGCTCACTGCCCAGAGAGGAGGGGAGTGAGGCCTTCCAACCAGGCCCCATATGCCCAGCTCTGCAGTGGGGGGAGCCAGACGCCCACCAGGTGCAGGCCTCTTTCTGCTCTCACCCAGACACAGCACCTCCGTCCCACAGCCTTGTTTTACCCTCTGTAATATGGAAGATCACCCATTAGCCTCCTTGCCACTCTAAACGTCTGTGCCCATTGCGCTTGCATGTCCCCGCATCTCTGGGGACAGCAGCTCTTCCCTTAAAGTAGACAACGCCCATCCAATCCCGCTTGCTGCTGAGAGGCGCCAGAGTTTTTCTGGAATCCAGGCTGAGCCCTTGCCCCACCCTCTCCCAGGGCCTCATTCTAGACCCAGCCCCCTCCTCAGACAGCCAGCCTGGCATTTAATCCTCCCTGCACACCTGGCCACAGGAGAGACAGCGCCTGGGGTCAGCACCTGAAAACCCCACCTCTCTCCCAGCCAGCAGGGGTCTACACCTGCCTGCAGAGAGGAAGGCCCTGCAATCCCTGAAGGGAAGTGGCTGCCTGCTCTGCCCCACCGCAACTGTGCAGGAAGAGCCCAGCAGATCGGCCAGCACTTACCGGTGGTCCGGGGACAGCGCAGGCCGGGGACAGGTGCCAGGCGTGGGCACTGCAGACACAAAGGTGCTATGGCGGTTTCGGCGTCTGGGATGCCAAAAGAGGCTTCCAGCGCCCAGGAGCACAGGAGAGAGCAACCCCATGCTCCCTGGGCACACAACATAAAGGTCCTGAGCCCAGAGTCCGCCACCAGCTTTCGACCGCCAGGGGGCGTCTGCCTCGGCGTCCACTTCTGAATCAGCACAGGCAGCTGGCTACTGACATTTCCAGGGACCCCGCAGGCAGCAGCGGTTTCAAGAATCCAGAACCGTGACCTCAGTCCCCAAAGCCGGGTTGGGGTGTAAAGGCCCCCATCGTCCGCGGTGCTGAGGGTAAAGCAATGCAAGCAGCAGCCGCGGGACTCCGCCCAGGAAGCCACCTGGAGCTGGCATCCCAGCCTCTCATCTGCGGGAGCCATGCGGGGAGGGGTGCGGGGAGTGCCCCAGCATGGGGGCCTGCGTGTGGGCTGTAAATGCAGTCTACTCTGTTAGAAACTTCTAATAAAGTATTTATGGGGAAAGCATCGGATACCTCCAAGGACGCCTGATAAAGAAAATGTTTCCAAAATGGTGTCCCGGCGGGAGGAAAGGACGCCATCGTCATGGCGGCCTCCTCTTTCCGTTACCCGCTGCTGTGGCCCATTCGGGACTCGCCAGGGACGCTGGGAGGCCGCACATCCGGGTGTCCGCAGTCAGGGCCCACTAGCTTCAGGCGTCCCCACATAACGAAGTGAAAAGTAGGCCATGGGAAGAAGGGTTCCCCCAAAGAAACTACCCCCATCGTCTGCCTGGGCTTCTGCAGCAGGGCGAAGGGCATGGCCAAGGCCAGCCACAGACCAGAGGGCCCCTCCTGCTTCCGCCCGGGCCAATCTTCATACTTCCTCAGTTCAGCAAATGGCGGCCGTCTACTCCCCTGGCGGAGAACTGCACCGCGCTGTGAGGAAAGCCTAGCTCAGGTCTGCAAGATCTGACTCAAACTGGCTTCTTGCTGCTTCGGTGGTGGTTTGTGGCGGTCCAGCCACTCTGAGTTCAGTGTAAAAAATTCTGCTCCCCGGGCACATCAGGAAAACAAGCTCTAGGCAGTTTACAATCCCTGCCCCTGTTCCACATCTCCCCTCCCCATTTCGCCCAAATCCTACACATTAGGCTACAAGGTGCCCCCTGAGACATTTCACTCCCACTCTGGGGGGTAAAGCACGAAGTCATGCTTTTGTAACTACTTCTTGTTGATCCTGGACATGGCCCAGGCTGGTGGAGAGACACTCTCCTACTCAACATCAACAAAGGACTTCAGACACCGGGTGTAGCCCCCAGAGGCTGTGGGCAACAGGGCAGGCGTCTAGAGGCATCCTCACCTGACATTCAACGTGGCGCCCTGTTGAGCAGCAGTCTGAGGTCTGACAGGGGCTCTCCAAGGAGCCATCCGGGGTGCAGGAGAGACAAGGAACTTCTCCTGCTCTCAGCTGTGGTGACTGCAAGGAGTCCCATGGAGAAGTTTAGGAGAACAATCAGTGGTAAACAGCGCCAAGTGTGGTCCTGCCAGAAGGGTTTAAACTGCTCCTGAAGAGAGCTCAGTTTACAATCAAGGGGGTGGGCTGCCTAGTGTGTTGGTGAGACTAGGTCTGAGGTGCACATCAGATGAGAGCAGCCACTACCTGTCCTCATTGTGTTATCTTGTTCTCATTTCCAACCTTTGGCAGGTTAAGGGGCCAGCCCAATTGGGAAAGAGCCTTCCATAGATAATTCAAAGGGGCTGAATCCTAATTCCTTTTTGTGGCTGCTCTAACACAGGCTAAGGCACTTGGAACAGACCTTTAAGCACTTCTCATGAATTTCTTGGCAAAGGCTAACTGATTCATATTTAGGGTCTCACTAGATGGTTCCAGACATTTGGGGTCTCCAGGCAGTAAGTCATTTGTACCTTATGCTTAAAACCTAGGGACTCCAGCCATCTTGGAAACCAAAACCTATCCATTACCACTTTGTCAATGATAAGCAGCCCACATCTCCAATTTCCCTCTACAGACTTTTATACAATATTATTTCTGGGAAATAGACACAGATATCACACATGTGCTGATTCACCCCTGAAATGCCACTACTGGGGCTGGGCACTCAACTGAGGTCTGACACATGGGTGGCAGGGACCCAACCAGTTGAGACAGCATGTGCTGCCTCCCCAGGACTACATACACAAGAAGCTAGACTCAGAGTGGAGGTAGGCCTGGAACCTTAGCATCACCATGTGGGATGTGTGTAACCCCACAGTGTCCAACCTCCTGCTTCAAATCCCACCCTGAGAAGCTTTCAATGCCTTAGACATGCACTGCTGCTCCATCCTGACTTAGACACAGAAACGTCTGATTTCATAGCCAGTCTCTTCCCAGGTGGGATGCAGAGCTCAGGAAATGTGGGAGTCAGAACTTTTAAACCAGGCCACAGGGCAGAGGTTCCACTCCTCTCTCTGTCTGCTCTCACTGAAACTCCTTTAACAGCTCATTTTGTGACTCCAGTGTCCATCCTCTATCTCTCCAACTTGTCCTATCTCTAGGGTAGACAAGGGCTTCACACCGGATTTGGATTTTATCCAGAGGCCGTCTGCAGAGCCAGTAACCCATTGGACTTCTTCTGTTGAGGGGAGCTGAGCCCTTCCCATCTGGGGACACCTGGGCCACTCCTCACCAGTGTCCTTCCAGCTTGCTGTAGGCACATGGGCGAGGCTCTAAATTAGCCGCTGACGTATGGATGGGCGTTTTGTGGTTTCACGCTCACCCCCATGTCAGTGTCCCTCATCCTATTGGGGTCCCTGGAATAGACAGGAAAGCCAGCAGCAAGCCAGCAGCCTGCCTCCACATCTTTCTGTACCCATGCAGATGTTCTCCATGTTATGGCTCACGAAACACAGTAGGCAGTGTCCACCAATAAAGAAGAATAGCCTTAGCATTGATGGTGTTTAGGTTTTCTGGACACTCTGAGATAGGAAGCATCTGCTAGAACCACCCGACTTCCCTGGGCATCAGGGTCCCAGGAAGCCTGCTGTCTATCCTATCCTCTTTGGGATGTCGAGTTACAAGAGTCAGTTGTGGGATGGTTTAAGTCCAAATTCCAGCTTGGAAAAGAGTCTGCCTCCCCCTCCCCCTATGGACAGGTGCACAAAACTGGTGAAACATGAAAGCCTCTAGGGATGGGGGAGCAAGAAGAATAAAATCCCAGATGTACCTCAAGTGCTGGGAAGGCAAAGCCAACATCACAGTCATCCATTGAGAAGCATGAAATTCCCTCTCCATTTCTACCTATAGAAGGCAGAGGTCTCTAACCCTGAATAAAGTGGCCCCATGCTGTGAAGCAGGGAAGGTCAGACCCAGCAACGCACAGACCAGGCTCAGGGTTTCGCAGACCTCTCCCTTTGCACTCCTCTGTCTCCCAGGGGAGAACCTGACCCCAGCATTCTGGCGTCCTGGCAATGGCTGTCCCTTTCTCCTCCACAATTCTGAACTGATGCTGAACTTCCGGTCCTGGCAATCCTGTCTACGATAAGGAAGACACTTATCAAACTGCCCAAATGACTCAGCCCTGATTCCCGTGAGATGCTGGACAAACAGGAGTGCAGGTGAACGTGCACCTCTCAGCTCTCTGCATCAGCAGCTCAGCATGGCCAGGTCCCAAGCCACACCTGAGTGCCATAAGGTAGAGTAAGTGTCCCTCAAGACTAAGTGCTCCTGGATGTGCTGCTGCCACCATTGCTCAGATCTTGGTGATGGACAACTTGACCCAGGATGCAGCAAGTGTTACCCACAAGCTGCCTGGCACTCTTCAATCTGACAATACCAACTGCTTTACTCCCAGTTCCCAGAAACCCCTACCCCAGGTTAGGAACCATCTCACATCTAGAGTGTTTGGGCATCAGTACAGGTGACGCCAGGCCTAGGGGTTCCTTGGCACTACACAACTGATGGCATCTGTTGCAAGCACATGCTAGAATGATCCCCAGAAACCACAAGAGAGACTGAGAATGTCCAGAGAGGGACGATGAACTGTGCAGGCTCAAACTCGTACAAAGATGAGAGAGCAGGTCCAAGCCCAGCTGTGGCACTGTCTGGGCCCAAGCCAGCCCTGTGGCAGGTGCTGCCTGTATTGGTGCAACTGTGGACAGTGGGTACATGGCGTAGGGGTAAAAGTAGCATAGGCAGTGCCCAAGTAGAATCTGAGGATATCTTGTGTGAGGAGGGGGCTCAGCTTAGGAGCCACAGGAAGTGACCTCACTACGTTGGTGATGACCTAGAGAACTGGGTGCCCCAGCAACCACCCCAACATTCCAGAGTTGAGTCTAAGCCAGCTCACCTGGATAGAGTCTCGTAGCAAGATGTTCCTGAGTTGTATCCCGCGATGCCGAAGCCCAGGCCCCAAGAAACCCTGCTGTGGGCGCCTCGCCCAGTGGTGGGGACGCTGGGCCAGCCCTCACCCCCGATGCTCCTGGAGCTTCAAGCAGAAAAAGGCCAAGGTGAGTCTGGCAGCCAGGGCAGCTCTCTGCTGACCAGGACACCACTGAGACCCCATTGGTAGCCCACAGGCCCGTGGGTGTGGGTGGACATGGTCCACTTCACCCTTGGAGGAGGGAGCCTGAGTTAAGAGGCGGGGGCAGCCTGAGGCCCAGAGCTGCTGGCTGTGGAGGGATCCAGGGACTGCCTCTTACCTGCCATTCTCTGCTCTTGTCTCCCAGGTCCAGGACAGGGCAGCCTCGCACCTGGCACAGCACAGCGGGCTGGGGATCTCAAGCAGCCCAGACAACCGTAGGCCAACTAAAACTGATGACCTGTGTGTAGTGGGGGAGTGGTCAAACTCACCCACAACTCCAAAGCTCATGTATCGGGCATTCCCCCAGGCGCACAAGCCACCTGAGGGCCCCCTCAGTCACTTAATCTTGGTAAAGGCCCAGATAGAGCCCAGGGGGTCCGCAAATGCCCATCTCACAGTGGAGGCACTGGGGCTCGACGACTTCGCCTGTTCCAGATGGGAAGCAAGCTCAAGGCTGGGCCTGGAACCTGACCTGACAGCTGGGGCAGAGCAGAGCCATGACCTTCAAGCAACAACCCCACTGGAGCAGTCATGGCCCTCCAAAGATGAGTGGGGGACAGCTGTGTCCCCAGCTGCAGCCAAGGAAACTGCAGAAGCACCAGACACAGCACTGGCCCCGGCCTCAGCCCCAGCTCCGCAAGTCCCTTCTGCTGCAGCCCCAGTGCCACACCTGTCCTTTCCCGCCCCGGTGTTCCTGTATTTCTCTTTAATCCTCCCCATTGTGTTCCTTGTCTCCACCTTATTGTCGCTTTACCAAAATAAAATTTAATTGATTACCCACTGCGAAATGTGCAATTCACACCATGCGAACTCCCCATACTGTGCCCTCCCCACCCCACTCTCCCTGCACCATGGCCCCAATGCCAGGGACCTGGAGCCTCTGGAGAGGACATGGGCACCTCCCCAGGGGCAGAGCCAGGGTTCCCCGCTTGGATAAAGAGCACCAAGTGCTGGGACAGCCAAGGAAAGCAAAGAACAGGGAGACGCTTGCACGGCTGTGGCAGTGCCTCCTCATGCTCAGGGACATGGACTCTGAGGTCACAGATCTGACCTGCAGTGGGTGTTCTCCCTGCAGCCTCAGTGTCCTCATCTGTGAGATGGGAAGGCAGCCCTGCCACAGCCATCACCGGCACAGGGAATGCGATGCTCTGCACCTCCCTGCACACATTGGGACCCCTGCTTCCAGTATGAGGAGTACACAAGAAAGGGAAAGGGTCCTTACACTGAAGGCACAGTTTGGGTCCTGGGGCCACACACACACACAGAAGCCATCACAGTCTCTGTCCCTGCACTCAACAATGGGTCACTGGCAGAAGGATCCGAGCAGGGATTTGCTCACTGCTCAGGAGACAGGGGGGCCTTGTCTGGGACCCCATGTGCCCCAGACTGCCTGGTGTGCAGGTGACATGGGTGGGTCTTGGCTGGGAACATGGAGACACAGAGGATGTCCCCAAGCACAGTAACTGCTCTTTCCTGAGCTCCTGGGATTTCCCAGCCCCTGGCCAAGCACACGGGTGACCACGTCTCAGCCATGGGGAGGCACTGCTGTCACTCCCCATTTGCAGATGAGGAACCCCCAGAGAGCGAGGCCCCACCCAGGTCACGGCTGTGCTGATCCCACATGAGGACTCCCCTCCCCACCGTAAGCCCAGACTGTCAGGCCCCGATGACCCTGTGGGCAAACAAGAGGGCGGTACAGCAGGCCAGGAAGGAGTGGGAAGGGTAGGACTTTCTCCAAGACATCATAGCCACAGGGATTTACTTAACAGGCTTCTCAGCTGATCCACTAGGGCTGAGGGATGCCTGTGGAGGAGGAAGCTGGGGCACTGGAATGCTGACCTGTGTGTGTTCCTGGGAATGGCCTGGATCACACCCACTGACAGCACTGGCCCTATGACTGTCCCTCTGGATAATGTCCCAGATCACCTGCTGCCTGTGCACCCTGCACACCTGGAACCTGGAACCCAGGTCAGGCCAACTGGAGGGAGTGGGTGGCACTGGGTGCACCTGTCCTGCAGAGTGCCAGGCAGCTCAGTTTGGCTGCCTTGGCAGGGAGGGCCCCAGGGATTCTGTGCTCCCCAGCACTGGGAGGGCACAGAGTGGGGTGTCCACCACTCAGGACAGACGATATCCCCATCTCAAGGTCATGAGCTCATGGTCATGTTAGTTCCAGGTCCTGGGGTCTAATAGCTGGAGCCCACCCCCAGGAGGCTGAGCTAAGTGTCATCTCACCATGTCCAGTGGTGCAGCCTGATGCCCTGATGAACTGTAGGGTCCTAGAGAGACAGGCTGCCCCAGGACAGTGGACAGAGCGGGCAGAGGCCAGAGATGCAAGCCCTGGGCTGTTGTGGGGAGAGGTGAGTATGAACAGCTGAGGGGCTGAGCCCCTGCAGGCCTCTATCTTTGCACGTGTCTCTCACTGTGTCCTGACCACTCAGTGACATGGGCATGTGAGGTCCCCACTGAGGCTAGAGGCCCTGCTCTCTGCAGTCTACTCAGCAGCAGAGCCAGGTTTAACACAAGGAGAAGCCAGAAACCCTGGGACTCCCTTGAAAATGAAGCTGCACCCAGATGCCTCTGGGGACCAGCTGCCCTGCCTACAGGTAAACTTAAGTAGGCCCAACAGACATGTGTGCACCAGAAAGCGCTCTGCCACCCAGGATTGCGCCCTCCCCAGTGTGCTAGCCTCAAGTTCACATAGCAGGACAGGCAGACAGACATCTGGACCTGGAAAGTCTTCTGTATTTCCCTGGTGGTGGGAACATCCTGGGCAGACGACAAACACAGCAAATGATGCTCTAAACATCCAATGACCATGACAGAAAATGAGCCTCCACACCTCTCATTTAGTTTTGCACCTCATGAATTCTAAAATGAAACCTAAAATAAAGCATCAAAAACATAAATGTTGAGTCAAAATATAAATCACATGGAAGACAATTTACAAAATGTTTCTAACTTGGAGTGACTCGCAGATTATGAGTGCATCACAACTATGATAGATAATAAAAAGATATAAGGTAATTTCTCCAAATTTCAAACATTTGTGATTAAAAAAATACATTTTCTTTTTTTTTCTGACATGCACACTGGACAGTGAGAGTGAGAGAGACAGAGAGAAAGGTCTTCCTTTACCATTGGTTCACCCTCCAATGGCCGCTGCGGCCGGTGTAACGTGCTGATCCGAAGCCAGGAGCCAGGTGTTTCTCCTGGTCTCCCATGTGGGTGCAGGGACCAAGCACTTTGGCCATCCTCCACTGCACTCCCGGGCCACAGCAGAAAACTGGACTGGAAGAGGGGCAACCGGGACAGAATCCGGCACCCCGACTGGGACTAGAACCCGGGGTGCCGACGCAGCAGATGGAGGATTAGCCTATTACGCTGCAGCACTGGCCAAAACACATTTTCAATGTGAAAAAACATCACACAGATTCAGAAAAAATATTTTAAAATCATGTATCTAACAAGATCCTCTGTCCACAAAATATAAGGAACACTTACAACTGAATAATAGGAAAATGAACAACTCAACCAACCAGGAGTCAAATATTCAAATGTGCATCTCTTCTAAGATAAGCCCAGAAAAAGTTGCTCAACATCATCTGGACCCAGGGAAAAGCAAATGGAAGCCACAGTGTGAACCAACTCTCCCCTACTTGAGTGGCAGGAGTTTAAACAATGGGGAGGAACCAGAGTTATAAAGGATATGGACAAACAGACCTCACCCATTGATGGTGAGAGTGTGAAATGGTGCAGCCACTGTAGTGTTCAAGCAGTTGTCCCCAAATGGAGATATGAAGAGTTACTGTCGGACTCAGCTACTCCATTCCTAGCTCATACTCAAGATGACTGAAAATACTTGTACCTAGACAAAAGTACCCAGGTAGACATAAGTTGGTATCTGTTAATAAGAACCTAGGATATAAATGGGTTAAATTCTCCACTAAAGGATACCGACTGGCTGAATGGATAAAGACCAACACTCAAGATACTGCCTGGAAGAAGCCCATTTCAGACACACATTACATCAGGATAAAAGAATCTGTCAGAAAGAGCATCTAACAACTGCAAATACATACATGCACCTGAAAACAACACCACCTAAGCATGGAATACAAACAATATTGGTTCTAAAGGGAGGTAGAGACCCCACAACAATAGGAGCTGGGGACTTCACCATCAGGTTATCTAGGCAGTCTAGAAGCACTAGACTTACGAAGTGCTACAAACCAAACGGACTCATCATTTGTGGAACGCTGCCTCTGGATCCTCAACTGCAAGACAGTGCTTAACCACAGAACCTAACTCTATCACTTTTGGGAAGAACAAATTGATTAAATGAAAAGAACATGGAAGAAAACCTGGTCATAACGAGCACACAACATACTCATCAATGCTGTGGGTGATTAATATTGGTATTAAAAAAGAAATCAAAACAGAAGAAAGACTGAAATCTAAGACCTGAGCCTTTGAAACAATTAGAAGAAAACACAGAGGAACTGCTTCCGGACAGTGCTACGGGCAAGGATTTCTTAGATCAGATCCCAAGAGCACAGCATACCAAGCCAACTAGCGGACAAATGGGATTTCACCAAATTAAAGAGCTTCTGCACACCAAAGGGAACAATATGTGCCAGCCAACATCTGGCATAGCAGTTAGTAAAGTCAATATAAAACACAACTAACAGCAAAAGCAAAAACACAACAATAAGTAAGTCAGATTAAAAATGGCCATAGATAGAAATTGACATTTCTTAAAGGAAGACATCTCACTGGTTCTATTCCACAGCACAGGGGGGAACTACAGATACTGTGAAATACTGGACAAAAGTGCTGATCACTAAACTCAGAGAGATACAAAGCAAAACTACAATGGGATACCAAGAGATGAAAGATAACAAGTGAGGATGTCTGTGGAGGGGAGGGAACACTTGGCACTCTGTGGGTGCGGATGAAGATCTAGCAAAGCAGCAAGGAAGTTGCTCAATAAACAGAAACTACAGCCACCATCCAGTCCAGCAATCCTACTACCTGGTGTACATCAAAGGGAAAGGAAGTTAAGTCTGGGGAAGAGAGATCTGTGCCCCTAATTTTACTGCAGTCCTGTTCCCAGTAGCTAAGGAATGCAAACAACCTACACATCCATCCACCATGGATGGAAAAAGAAAAAAAAGGGTACGTGTACACATAGGAATACTACTCGGCTATAAAAAAGGTTGAAATCTTGTAATTTGTGGTAACATGGGAGGATCTGGAAATCACTGGGTTAAGTGAAATCAACCAAGCACAGAAAGACAAACACCACATGACCTCACTCACATGTGGAATCTGCAAAGTGGTGATGCCCTGGAGGCTCAGGGCACAACGGCAGTTGTCAGAGGCCGGGAGGCAGGGACGAGGGCAGTGGGCAGCGACGGACTAGTGTGAGTCACAGCTGACGGAGCAGGAGTCTCTGTGCTTCTGCTGCGCGGGAGAGGACAAGGCTGATGCCCTGTGTATCTCCCTAGGAAGGCAGACACAGCCCTGCAGTGTGGCGTTTGCTTCCCCGCAGGAACAAGCCCAGTGAACTCGGGGGACAGAGGAGGTGGAGGTGGGGAGCAAGGGCTTTCCACCCTTCTGCTCACTTCCTGCAGGTCAACCTACGAAGGTGAAAGTCCATGGCGATCAAACCATGGACGCACGCAGTCCTGACCCTGTGATTCCCCACAAGCTCAGGTTACACTCAGGTCTGAACTCATGCAATCCTAAGCCCTAAAACCCAAGAACCCGGATAAGATGATCTGGGTGAAGTTCCAGGGATGCTGGAAAGGGAGATCCTGCCCCAGTTCCCTCTCCTCACACAGTGACACACAGCAATGGCCGCCACCGCAGCTATAAGGGTGCAGGTGTAGAGGCTCAGGTTTCAGGGCTTTACAAGGAACGCCTTCTGCAATCCTGAAAACTCGAGGAGGGGACTACTATGCCCATTTTGTAGCAGGGAAATTGAGGCACGGGACAGGGAATCCACATAAAGCCACGTCACTTCTCACAGCAGAGTCCAGATTATGCCCTGTCTCTCCAGTTCCTCATCAATCTCCTGGTTCCACTCCTGTACCCCAGCCCCAGGAGCTCACCTCTAGGCACCATGGACACCGGACACAGATCAGATCGATATTGGCCCGGGGCACCCTGGGCACTATAGAGTGTGGGGCAGCATCTCTGGCAACCACCTTACTCAAGCCAGGAGCACCTCCCAGTTGGGCCAACCACAGTGTCCCTTAAGGAGTCACAGTCTCCACAGCTAGGAACCAGGGCCCCATGGACAATCTTTTCTCAATGGACAAAGAAGCTGTCCCCACAGCCTCAGTGTCCTCATCTGTGCAATGGGAAGGCAGCCCTGCTGCAGCCATCACCGTGTCAGGAAATGCGATGCTCTGCACCTCCCTGCACACACTGGGAGTCCTCAGCTCCAGTATGAAGTGTTAACAGGGTATAGATAAGGGATTCTTAACTGAGGGCACACGATCAGGTCCAGGGGTCATACACACACAGAAGGAGTCACAGTCTCTGTCCCTGTGCTCAACAATGAGTCACTGGTACCTAAATTAGAGGAAGGATTTGCTCACTGCACAGGAGACTGAGGGGCCTTGTCCAGGACCCCATGTAACCCAGACTGCCTGGTATGCAGGTGACATGGGTGGTCTTGGCTGAGAAGATGGAGACACACAGGATGTCCCAAGGATAGTGACCATGTTCCACTGGAACAGGCTGTGTTTCCATAGGGAAGTGCACCCCAGGCTTTCATAATCTTCCACTGCCGTGTGGTTCTGACTTACAGACGAAGAACCTCGCAGTCCCTGAGAGCCCACAGGTAGAACACAGTGATACCAATGAACTGAGGGACACTGTTGACCTCTGGGGACCAGCTGCCCTGTCTACAGGTGGACTGAAATGGGTCCAACAGACATGTGTGCACCAGCAAGAGCTCTGTCACCCAGGATTTCCCTCTCCCCAGTGCGCCAGACTCAAGTTCACAGAGCAGAACCAGGAAGACCGACATCTGGACCTGGAAAGTCTTCTGTGTTTCCCTGGTGATCTAGAGGTTGTTGTGCACATGGGGGCCTGGGCTACATCAGTAAACAAAGAGAAGGTTCCTTCTGCCTACTCACCCCTGATCAGGTGTGAAGACTTGCGCATCTGCGCAGGAGACATGAGAAGGCCCAGAGAAGGGAGCATCCTGGGCAGACTTACAAACACAGCAAATGATGCTCTAAATACCTAATGGCCCAGCAGAAAATGAGCTTCCAGGCCTCTCATTTACATGTTCACCTCATCCACTCCAAAACATAACTCAAAATAAAGCATCTAAGCACAAATGTTAAAAGTCAAAAATATAAATCACTTAGAAGAAAACTTACAAAATCTTGACAATTTTGAGTGACCCGCAGATTTTTGATACATTATCACAACTATGATACATAATAAAAAGATAATCAGTAATTTCTCCAAATCGCAAACACTTCTGATTCAAGAAAAACATTATCAAAGTGAAAAAAAGATCACACAGATTCAGACAAAATATTTTAAAAGCATGTATATGATAAGATCCTCTGTCCACAAAATATAAGGAACACTTACAATTGAACAATACGAAAATGAACAACCCAAACCACCATGTGTCAAATATTGAATATGCATTTCTTCTAAGATAAGCACAGTAAAAGTTGCCCAACATCTTCAGGCCCCAGAGAAAAGCAAATGGAAGCCACAATGTGACACCAACTCTCCCCCACTTGAGTGGCAGGAATTTAAACAATGGGGAGGAACCAGAGTTGTAAAGGATATGGACAAACAGACCTCACCCATTGATGGTGAGAATGTGAAATGGTGCAGCCACTGTACAAATCAAGCGGTTGTCCAAATGGAGATATGAAGAGTTACTGTCAGACTCAGCACCTAGCTCATACTCAAGATAAATGAAAATACTTGTCCCTAAAAAAAGTGTCAAGGTAGACATAGGTTGTTATCTGTTAATAACAACTTTGAATGTAAATTGGTTAAATTCCCCACTTAAAGGATAAAGACCGGCTGAGTGGATAAAGACCAACACTCAAGATACTGCCTGGAAGAAACCCATTTCAGACACACATTACATCAGGATAAAAGAATCTGTCAGAAAGAGCATCTAACAACTGCAAATACATACATGCACCTGAAAACAACACCACCTAAGCATGGAATACAAACAATATTGGTTCTAAAGGGAGGTAGAGACCCCACAACAATAGGAACTGGGGACTTCCACATCCCACCTGTCAATGGACAGATCATCTAGACAGACAACCAGCAAAGAAGCACTAGACTTAAGAAGCACTACACACCAAATGGACTTAACATTTGTGGAACACTGCAGAATATGCATTCTTCCCCTCAGCACGTGGAACATTCTCCAGAAGAGACCCTACATTCGCCCACAAAACAAGCCTCAACTCATTTTAAAAAATCAAAATCACCTTTTCGCAGGCCATAATGGAATAAAATATTAGTAATAAACCTGAGGAATTGTAGATATCAGCCAAATGCATGGAAATCAAACACCATGTTCCTGTACAATCAATGGATCCCTTTTACCACTCTCCTCAACACACAACTGGGAGTGCTACCCAGCACAATTTAGCAAGAGCAAAAAATAACAGCATCAATTAATAGTCCTTACTTGCAATCTATATGATCTTATATATAGGAAAATTTAAAACTTCATCAAAAGAATTAAAATAATTCAATAAAATGCAGGATACAGGATCAGCTTACAAAAACCAACATTTCAATACCCTAGGAACAAATCAGATGAAAAGAGATCAAGAAGGCAACCCAGTGGTAGAACAA